GTAAATGGGTAAGGGTATGGAAAGAGGGAAAGATAGGTCGGGGAAGTCAGATAAGTGAGAGAAAGCAGATGTACAGGCTACAGTAAAGCAATGACAGGACAACAGAAAATGTAGGACTGAAAGAGGAACATTGCATAGAGAGCATGGGATGGATCAGAATATGACATGATATAAGAGTGTGTAAGATGGGCGGCAAAAATATACAAGCTAATTGTTATTATTGTTGTTGATATTATTGTTTTTTTATTATTATTATTGTTACCATTATTTGGGTGTTATGATTGTTATAATGACAATGATTATTATTATTATTTTTATTATCATTATCATAATTATTATTATCATCAATGTAATGATCTCTATTTATTGTTATTACTATCATGGGAGTATTGTTATAATCATTTGTAGTATTATGAGTATTGTTTTAATTATTTATATAATTATTGCCACCAATCTTGACCGACAATATCATACAGGTGTTAATCATTGTTTCAGTTATTTTTATAAGTACTGTTATGGCATCCACATAGTGTGAAAGTCTGTATTTAAATGTTTTTGCAGGGTTAAATGGAGAGAAAACCCCACTGCCCCTGTGCTGTCCTGAGGGTCTGATCTTTGACGTATACCATAATTGCTCTTCGCCACCAGTGGGCTGGAATTGGAAGCCCAAACTGTCTGGAGAACCGAGTGCAATTTTCACATTTAGAGGATTCCCAAAGTAAGATATGTCTTTTTATTACTACTGCTATTGTTAGTAAATCTCTACAGATGTGTTTATTTGCTAAAGATAAAAATCTCATATAATTAACCATCATTAACATTGAATTTTTTTTACTGTCTACAGCTGTAAATTGAATGAACCTGTGTCCATTTACCAGAAAGAAGTTTTATTTGATGATGGAGATGCTTTTGTACCCCACTATATACAGTTGAATGCAGTACCCTTGTCCAAATATTGTGTTACAAAGGTATATGAACCATTTTACTTTGTCATCACTTGTTTTTACCCAATCTCATATTTATTTTTACCCATACCTAGACCTTGCCTGAATTGCATAATTCCTTGTGCATATATTGAGAGATAGTATGTAGTACTAGTATAAAGATGGATGAAGTATTTCATAAAGGAAGTGACATCTATAAATACATAATTCTCTTTATAATCAGGTGTACGAGAACAGTGACCCCGAGGAGTGCGAGACCCATCAGACCAAGGTCTTCGTCTGTGTTGAGCCAAAGGAGCCAGAGCTTGGCCTCTACTGGACAGGGGTGGCCCTTGCACACTTCTTCCTTGTGCTTACACTTCTTGCATACTTCTTTGTCAGGGACCTGAGATGCCTGCAGGTTAGATTCATAATTTGTAATGTAAAAGTCTTTCAGGAAAACCTTATAAATGAGTTAAAATATAACATATTGTTGTTACATTTGTTCTAAAAACCTTCCATGATTACAGGGTCAATACATGATATGCTTCCTGATATCTCTTCTCATTTATAATGTCTGCCTGCTGCCAGGATCAGTTCTCACTCTGGATATTAGCTTTGTATCTTGTGTATCTCTAGGTAAGTGGAAAAGCGGAGTTGCTTTTTTAAAGAGTTCATAAGGTTGCATAATTTTTATTAGTGATGGATAGAAAAAAATATTAGCCCTGGCAAAGATAGAGTAAATGAGACCATTGTTTGAGAATAAATGTCATTTGACTTCTCTCTTGCAAGATGAACTGACAGTTTGTCTTTTCTTGTAGGTGCTGTTAAGTACTTCTTCTTCTGTGGAGTCATGCTGTGGTTTAATGTTATTTGCTTTGACATCTGGAGAACACTCAAGTAAGTTTGAATTTTTGCAGCCTTTTACAATGTCATGAGATTTATTATTGTATCCAGTTTTGCTGAGTTCTGATTTGTCTGTTGATTACTTTCTTTTCATCTTTAAAGTCCAGTGATTAAAAGAAGTTTTTCCAGGAACCGTCAGGATGTTGGGTCCAGGAAGAGATTCCTGATCTACTCTGTTTATACATGGGTCTTTGGAGCTGTATTAACAACAGTTGTTCTGGTGATACCATATGCCTCTGGAGAAAATCGTGATGCATCTCTTATGGAACCAATCAAGAATATGTGTAAACTAAAAAGTTAGTAATGGCCTATGAGTATACCTATGTATAGTGTAGATTGGAGGTAGATTGTAGAATCTCATTTCACTATTTTGATTCTTTGATTTGATAACCTTTCGGCTTATTGATTATGGGGAAATAATGACTACACCAGAAGAATGATTACAGTATTTATTTTATGCTATTAGGACAGTCCCTTGGACTTTATTTTTATATCCTTTAATAAAGTACCTCTTTTTTTACAGCTGATATTAATGTTATATTGCAACTTGTGGAGACCTTGTTGATGATAATCAATTTCATCTTCCTAACTCTGGCTACTTCAAACACATGTAAATATCCAAAATTTGGCAATGGTCTCCCACGATGTGAAGCCAATCTTAGGTAAGTGTG